GCAGATCGAAGCCTGACGAGAAGCCACACGGCCGGTGCCTTGATGTGGCTTACGAAACCGGTCAGCAATACCAGAAACATAGGGATGCCGAAGATGCAGTAGAATATCGTAAACGCCTTACCGGCTGCGGTCGTAGGTGAAATCTGGCCATAACCTGCGTCACAAGATACAAAGTTATGTTACAGCTCTGCTCATAACTCTGCTCACCGACGGTGCTGACCAAAGTGCCACAGAAGAAGAACGCCTGTCCGAAGCTCCAGCTCGGCTCCAGTGGTTCTTTGACTCGCGCCTTAATGCCACGCTCGTTCGCTTCTACCACCTTCTTAACGAGCTCTTCCAATTCGTTCTCTAAACACTGACATAATGCGAGATATTAATGTAAGGTAATATGATAAAGGCAAAACAAAGAGCATAACTTCTAACAACGTGACTGATGCCAAGGTGAAACGAATAAGTTCATTGGGCAAAATGGATAAGAATCGCAGTAAACATAAGTTTATGCATAATTTTAAAGACATAGGCCTTCATTCCGCAGTGGATCGAAAAAGACTGATGAAGATAACTTTTAATATCATTTTTTGAGAAGCGCCAAGCTGAGCTAATTATCATAAAAGATATTACTGCTATTACTATAATTATGTCCACTACTGGATAAATCAGAATGCTTTATGATGGCTCAATTGTAATTTATTGATATTTACATTAATAATTTCATAACTTTATATGAAAAACTAAACTCCTTTGCAATTCCAGTTTCAGTAGTCAAAACATTGATCATTCAGTGAAATAAGGATGGTCAAATCGTGCACATTAACGACAACAGGCAATTGGAGATAAGAAAGAGCAAAAAAACGTTAAGGATGCAGATAGTAGTTACCGGTTATTAACTTATTTTTGTCGAAATACGCGAAGGCAGATTCATAGCTTAAACGGTTAACACCAATTCGTTCAGTTTAACATATATGATGCAAACTAGATTAACCGTGATCATTTAAACTACCCTAAAAAATTCTATTTAACCAACATCTACACCTGAGCATTGAACAACTAACCTCTTCAGTCGAAAGAAGGTCCGTGAAAGGTGCACATAACAGTTCTCAGCCAAGAGAGAATCTAGCATTTATGTTTACCAAGTTACTTAGCAAGTCTTGAACAGCAAACGTACACTTTGAAAAACGAGGGATTGAACGAAAAGCCAAACCGCCGGTTCATGCTAAGGCAAAAAGAACATGAACAAAAATACAAGCGTCTGTATTGAAACTTGTAAAAGAAAAACACTGGCTTATGATTTTCATTTTAACTTGTACTTATGTTTTAGAATGTTTAAATTCACAGTGTCAATAGTGTAAATGTCATCAGCAATCTATAGTTGGAAGTTTCCTGATTTAATGGCTAAAAGTACCTACAGGGGGTTGTGATGAGCGGAGGAAAATAAAGGTCGGTATAAGTCAATGTCAATTTAGTATTTTTGCCACAGAGATCTGTTGATTCCGACAGGATCATCCATTTTTCACAACATTTAATATAACCTCTAACCACTGAATAAGAATTATTCAAATCGAAGAACTCTTCAGGCATCGAACCACAAAGGATATCAGCTTTATCACAAGCGACCTTTCAGATGCGTTCCATTTATGAGGTTCCGCAAAATGCCCTCCTATAAGTTATATCGTCCTCCCTCACCTACATACTCGTGCTTTCCCTTCTTTTCGCATGTTTCGGGTAAACCAACAAAAACAACGGGTCTTTCGTCTTTCCATTTGTGCTGACTATCACACTAAATAGTAAGCAATTAGGTTTATCAAGGCGACCTGATGCCTTAAGAGGCGCGCAGATCAAATGGCATGGTTATCCCTCTCGCCCATTCTGGTATGAGCACACTAGAACACCACAATGCCTCTGTTGTTTGCAAATCTAGTCGTTTCTCGACTC